CCAAGACACTCTTTAAACCTAGAAGCGAGCCTATCCCCTGAGATCACCTTTTAGCAAAATAGCAGAGTGGCACGCAAAACAAAGGATATTACCCATAAGATCAGTGCTCTACTTAAAAACCATCAGTATGAGACCAAAAGGTCAACAATTTCTCAAAAGCAAAGATGAGAAGATAAGGGGGCAGGGAAACTAGAGTACTGGAAAGGGAACAAACAGAACACAGTTAAAGAGAATGTTGACACATTGTGATAAATGTAACTAATGTCACTGAATAATTTGTATGCAAATTTTCAGATGGGGACCTAACTTGTGTAAACTTTCACCAAAAACTCAGTATTTTTTTTTAAAAATGGGCAAAGTACCTCAACAGACATTTCACCAAAGAGGATATTCAAATGGCCAACGAGCACATGTCATTAGCCATTAAGGAGATGCAAATCAAAACCACAATGATATACTGCCTCACCCCCATGAATGGCAATGATCAAAAAAACAGAAAACAGGTGTTAGTGAAGTTGTGGAGAAACTGGAAATCCTCACTCATCACTAGTAGGAATGTAAAATGGTACAGCCACTGTGGAAAAAAGTTTGGTGGTTCCTCAAAAAGTTGAACACAGAACTACCATATGACCCAGCAATCCCAATCCTAGGTATATATCAAGAAGTGAGAGCAGGAACGCAAACAGAAACCTGTATATCAATGTTCATCGCAGCACTTTTCACAATAGCCAAAAGGTGGAAACAACTGAAATGTCCATCAACAGATGAATGGACAAACAAAATGTGGTACATACACCCAATGGGATATTACTAAGCCATAAAGAGAAATGAAGTCTTGATGCATGCCACTACATGGATAAACCTTGAAAACATTATGCTGAGCAAAATAAGTCAGTTGCAACAGGGCAAATACCATATGATCTTACTTATATGAAATAAGCAAATATGTAGAAACCAAATATGCACCCCCTACCAAGGGGTAGGAGGACAACGGTTGTGGAAGGTTTTGCTTAGGGGATAGTGAGTTTATGTTAATAGTGGTGGAATGATTTAGAAAAGGGTATTGAGAATGGCTGCAGAAGTTGAAGGATGTAATCAATGTCACTGAATTACACGTGTAGAAACTGAATTGGCAAATGTGTATATTTTCACAATTAAAAAAACAAACACATACACACACACACACACACACACAACTTACTAAATCTAAAACTGAACTCCTATCCCCTAAACTTGTTCTTCCCAGCCATCCCCATCTCTGTCGATGGCAACTCCAATCTTTCCACCAAAAACCTTGGAATCATCCTTGACTCTTCTCTCACACCACACAACAAATCATATTGATTTGATCTTCAAAATATATCCAGAATCCAATTATTTCTTACCACCTCCTCTGTCACCACACTGGTACAAGTTACTAGCACCTCTCTCCTGGATTACTAGCCTCCTCAGACGTCTCCGTTTCCACTGTTGTTCTCCTCTGCAATCAGAATGATCCTTCTGAAGCTGAAAGCAGATCACTTAGGTCACTCCCCTACTCAAAACTCCTGGCATAGTCCTAACAATAGCTCTGCAAAATCTGTCCCCCCACCCCCTGACCATTACCCCTCTGACTCAATTTTCTATTACTCTTTCTATTCTAGCCATACTGGGGAAAACCCACAGGTTTGCCTAAGGGCCTTGGTACTAGCTGTTCCTTCTGCTTGGAAATTTTTCCCCTAGATAACTCTCTCCCCTATAAGACTGCATAAACATCACCCTCTCAAGGAGGCTCATCCGGTCTACCCCACCTTATTAAACTGCAACCCCTCCCCCAGCAATTCGGGATCCCCCTTACTCTGCTCCATTTTCCATAGCACTTACCTTTGAACATTCTATAGAAATTATTGTTTATCACCCCTCACTAGGACATAAGCTCCACAAGGGCTAAATTTTTGTGTGTGTATGGTATACCCAATCATCCCTAATGTGCCTCTGTTTGGTACACAACAGACATGCATATGTTCAAAAAACAGTACCTCTATCACTGCAATGTACTTGCCTGTTTCCCTCATTAGCAGAGTTCCTTGAAGACTCTGACTGCATCTAATTGGCAGTGTCCTCAACACCTGGCCCTAGGTCTGACTGATCACCAAAATCAAACCCAATGCTGTTGTCAAGTAGATTCCAACTCATAGCAACCCTATAAGAACTGCCCCATAGGGTTTCCAAGGCTGTAAATCTTTACAGAAGCAAACTGCCACATCTTTATCCCACAGTGTGCTGGTGGGTTCAAATCACTGACTTTTCGGTTAGCAACTGAGCCCTTTAACCACTGCACCATCAAGGCTCCTTGTCTGATAGCGGGCACCTAATGCACAGAGACTCAGCTGATTACAGTCATTTTCACCTGAAACACAATTGCCTGCCTATGCTACAGAAAAAAAAAATCAGGTCTTACAGCTGTGTCTGATTAAAGAGTGAGTACAACACAAATACAGAACCTTGACCCCCAACTGTTACTTCACTCAAAATAAATTTACATTTTGTGCCTCAATTTCTTCATATGTCTAAGAACCAGTTAAAACCATCTAAAGTTTAAAAAGGGCACTTGGTCACTCCCTCCCTCTGCCATGACACCCTATCAAGCCTACCTTATCTTTTCATGCTTGACTTAAGTCCTACCTCGTAAGTTTTTCCCTGATGATCCCAGATAGAAAGACTTATCACATGCCACCCTCTGTGCCAAGTGCTTTTCATGCATTATCTCATTTAATCCTTCCCAAAGTCCTATGAAGGGTGCTACCATTACGATGTCTACCTCAAAGATGAGAAGACCCAAGCTCAGAGATATGACGTTATTTGCTCAAGTGTTCAAATCTAGGTATGTCTGACTCTGAAACCCAAGTTCTTAACCCTAAACTATACTGCCTCTCTCTCCAGAGCAGTATAAACACTACTACTAACTTAGCTTACATACTGCCTCGTCGGGTTAGCTGTCACTTCACTTTTCCAGGCTTCAGTTTCCTCATCTGTGAAACAGCTGATATTATCCAGGATGCCTACAAAAATTCCTTCCAGTTTTTACAGCATTATGGCAGAAAATGTTTTATAATTCTTTATATATGACATGCAAATTAATACATGGGAAAAATATATATATATACTGGAACTTACTTAGTCACTGTTAGCAATCCGAAGCAGTACAGAGACAAAAGCAGTAAAAATAAAAAATCCAAGACCTTGTGTAAAGCAATAAAACATTCTTGATTCCTTCCCTAGTTGTGTCCACCAAAGATGCACTTCTGAGTCCATTTTCCCACATATTATGAAAAATTAAGGGTTGCCCCCCAAGAAGTGTAAGCATGCGATACTTAAAGCTTCTGCACCTCATGAATAAACTGGCAAAATGAATTGAATATAAGGCACTTGGTCCATTCAGGAGCTAGTGTTACTTTGTACACGATAAGTACTCAGTGTTTATTGAATCATGATACAAAATTTCTTTTGTTGTTGTTGTTGAGGTTTTCCAGTCTCAAACCAAAACCTGTAAAATATGAGTTTGTAATTGATTGTGCAGTAAATCAAAATAATCTAACTGAAGTAAGTTTAACTACCTTAGGCAAGAAACTATGAAAGGGTAAAGCCATGCTAAGTCAACTATTGCAAGTAAGAGCTGGGTTTTCTTTTAGATAGAATGATTATTTTTGTGTGTGCAAAGATCAACACCCCAACCCCAACAGAATCCTTTTGTGTTGCAATCAAACTTAAAAACCATCAAATAAAACCCAGACATTTCTGGACCAAGGTGAAAAGATTTGGCAAGGAGCAAGGGGTTCAAAACTTTAGTCATATCTAAAATGTGTCAAAAGAGCAAAGCTCTTGGAATCATTCTGGTCATCAAGTGACAGTTTCATTTGAATCCTCTGTCAACAGTTAAGTTTGATACGAATCCTATATGCCTAGGTCTAGACTTCAACACCAGCACATGGAGTTTAAGAATGGCTTTCTAAAACAATGGTCTTGGGAGGGCGTAAGGTAAGAAGTGACTCCAGGCTCCGGAGTGCAAACTCCTGAGCTATGCAGTACAGTAGCAGACACAGCACTCAACAAAAATGTAGAAATAACCTGGACTGGAAAAACAGTACCGGGAAAAACTATTATTTCAGTTTTCTAAAACACTGTCTCCTTAGAGAATCCTCAAACGATTCTTGGTTTTTAACTAAGTCTTCACAAGGGTAGAAAGTCATCCGTTTAAGGGTAAAAGGTTCCTGTTACCAAGGAAGCAGAGTGTCCGAAAGTGTACATGCAAATCCCATGTCTGGAGGAGAATGTATGTCCCTCTGAAGGCTTTCGTTTTCGAGTGGAGAAACAAACCTGGTGTCACCTCAACATCAGAGCCACACGAACCTCGCCACCATTACAAAACCGAAGTGCCAAAGGTGCAGAATCTGAAGCTGGAAGCACTAATAGGCTCGGATCGAGTTCCCAGGAGGAAAAATCAACCCCGAGAGCAGAGCGCGGGTCCCTCCGCGGCCCAGAGCCAGGCGACGCGCGGGAGGCCCTTCCGGTACCAGCTGCCGCCGCTGGGCGCCCAAGCGACGGGCCGGGTTTCCACCCGAGCCCGGGGATTCGCGGCCTACCGTCGCCGGCCCCATCTCGCCGGACCCGGCGCCGGTAGCTCCTCTGACACAGCCCCTTTGCCCGCAGCGGGGCCTGGGCGGACCGTGGAGGTAGCTGACCCTCGGGCTGGCCAGGTCGGTGCGAACGCGGCGGCGGCAACGGAGGCCGTGGCTGCCCCTCCCCCACCCGCCCGGCCCAACCGCCGCTGCGACGCGAGCAGCGGCGCCAATGCTGGGCCCAACCGCCGGCGGGCCGGAGCAAGGCAGCCGGAGGCGACGGCGCGGGCCTGCTCCCCCGCCAGCCGCACGAGGCCGCCCCCGGCCTGTTACTCCTCGCGCCGCCCTCGGCCGGGGCTGCTGTGGCCGAAGGCAGCGGGAGGCCACGGAGCTGATACTTACTCAGGGGTCGGGTGCTCGGGGTCATAGAAATCCCCCATCTTCGGAGGCGTCTGCGACGGCAGCTGCTTCATCAGAAGCGACTGCAGGCGGCGACGCGAGCCCCCTCCCCGCGGCAGGGCGACGCGGGGAAGGGGAGGGGAGGAGGCCGCTGGTCCGACCGCGGCGGCGGCGGCAGGGGCTACCCGCGTCGCCGCTAGCTTGCTTGCTCCCTCCCTCCGGCGCCCGCCCGCCTCTCTCTCCCTAACACAAGGAGCGACGCTCACCCCGCCCGCCCGAGGGCCGCCCAGGCCCGGCCCCTTAAAGAGACAAGCACAGTCCACCAGCCCGCCGCCAGTCGGCGCGCCCCCACCTGCAAGCGGAACCCAGGCAGAGGCAGGCGGGCGGGCGGGGCGGGGCGCGGCCAGGCCCGGCCCAGCTTGAGGTTTCCCAGAATATAAACCTGGGTCGGCTCCCGGCGCTCGGGTTGAGTTGTAGTTCTTCTGGGTCCTAGGGGGCGGTACTAAGACCCTGCCCCCCCGGCCTGCTGAGGCGTCCGAGGGCGGAGGCGTGACTCGGCCCGCCCGCTCTGGGGTTGTTTGCAGGCGACGCCAGGGCAACGGCCCAAGCCCGCCGAGATACTAGCCTTCCTGACCTATAGTCCCGGAGGACCTGCCCGCCCGGAGCCCCGGATTTGCGCGGCGGCTCCGAGGGCCCTCCACCCGGGCCTCCGGCCTCTGAGGTAAAGTGGCCGCCACTCCTCCCGTGCCTCTCACCCCACTTGCCCCTCTCTTAATTTGTCCTCGCACTCTGCCCCTTGCCCCTTCATCTCGCCTCCTCACCAAGTATGAAAACGGAGCTGGGGCCTGGGATTCGCTCTGAGGCTGAGCTCCTGGTGCGCCCCCTACCCGCAGGGCCTTCTGCCCCCACCCAACGCGGCCCTCCACCTCGGGGCTGTATCTCCCCACCCCAAAAAATTGGGAAGGCTACAGCTCCCGTCGTCTGCATGGAGGAAATATCCTGGAAAAAGGTTATTAATTAATCACTTTCCTGCAAAACTGACAAGGTGAGATTAAGCAGGATAACTTGAAAAGGCTGACGATTTTTAGTTCTTTTTGAAAGGAGAAACAGGAGTGCATAAAGCCATTAGCTAAATTTTCATGATATTGAAGAGTTTATGGCAGTTGATCATTTTGAAATTGGGAGTTAATAGGGACAGATTAAATTGTGTCCCCCAAAATATGTGTTGAAATCCTAACGCCTGTGCCTGTAAATATGACTTGTTTGGAAATAGGCGTTTTCTTTTTTTATATTATGAAGTCATACCAGAGTAGGGTGGGTACTAAACCTAATCATTTCTGAGTTGTGAAAAGAGCAGAAGTGACACAGAGTCACAAGGAGGGGGAAGGCAGATTCCATATGAGAAAACCCAAAGATTTCTAGCAGACACGAGAAACTAGGAGACAGGCTCTCGGAAGGAATCAGTATGGCAGAGACCTTGATTTGGAGTTTTAGCCTCCAGAAATGTGAAAAAATAAATTCCTATTTTTTAAAGCCACCCATCTGTGTTATTTTTGGTTACAGCAGCACTAGGTAGCTGAGACAGAATTTGGTACCAGAGAGGGGGGGGTATTGCTCTAACAAATACCTAAAACGTGGAAGTGGTTTTGGAATTGGGTAATGAGTAGAGGCTGGTGAAATTTTGATGTACTTGACAGGCCTAGATTGCCTTGAAGAGACTGCTGGTAGAATTATGGACATCAACGATTATTTTGATCAGGGCCCAGAAAGAATTGACAGCTGTGGGGAAAGCTATCACCATGAACAGGTGTTGCTAGAAATGTGGATGTTTAAATGTGCTTCTGACGAGGTTTTAAAAGGACATGATGAACATGTTATTGGACACTGAAGGAAAAGTGTTGTTATAAAGTGGCAAAGAACTTATCTGAATTACGTTGGAAGTTTTTGTGGAAGGTAGAACTTGTAAGTAATGAACCTGAATATTGAGCTAAGGTGATTTCTAAACAGGATCTTAAAGGGGTGATGTGGTTTCTCCTTGCTGCTTATAGTAAAACGTGGTAGGAAAGAGATTTATAAATGAACTGTGCAAAAAGAAACCAGAACTTAAAGATTTGGAAAATTCTGTTGTAAAAACTAAGCGTATCCTGGAACTGACACCAAGGATGTGGCTACACGATCTTTTACTAAAGAGATTAGGCCTGTGACTGATGGATCTAACCAACCACCCCAGCAGAAACCCTGTCAGCTTAAGCTGAAAAGGAGAAAGATAGGACAAAAAGAAGGAAAGCTGTCTGCCTCCTGGAATTCTACAGGCAGGAAATAGGCCAGTGGAGCTAATTAGTTGCAAACATTTGTTGTCCTCCAATAAAAGAAAGGGCCATCCTGGGAACAGTTTAGAGACAAGCTGAACTGTTAGACGGAGCATGGGGGATGGGGAGAGAGGAGGCAGGACCTCCACTTCCTCTAGGTTTCAAAGGGTGGAGCTGCCACCTAGGTTTCAGAGTGGGGTTCACTGCTGCGTTGGTTCCTGAGGGTAGAAATGCCATTCTGGTGGGCCACAATTGAGGAATGGTGCTGCTGTGCCAGTTAGCCAAGAAAAACAGGCTGCCTAGGGCCGAGAGGTGGGGTTAGCAATCAGGTGGATCAGGAGAATGGGACCATCCAGAGCCAAGAGGGCAGGTCACTGTCCCTGTAGGCCTGGAAGGTGGGACTGATGCCCAGGGCTGAGGGACCTATGACCAGGATTTGGGGAATGTGGCCAATGCCCAGAGTCCAGAGGGCAGGGCCATTGCTCAGATGTGCCTGGAGAACAGGATTATTTTCAAGCCTTGAGAGCTAATGAGATTTACTCTGCTGTATTTTGAACTTCCTTGTTACCCATGACCCCTTCTTTCCCTCTAGTTTTTCTCTTTTGGAATGGAAATGTCTACACTGTGCCTGTTCTACCATTGTATTTTGGAAGCAGACAACTTGTATTCTAGGTCTCACAGGTCCGCAGACGGAGAGGAATTTTGCCCAGGATGGAACACACCAGAGTCTTACCTGTCTTAGTTATCTAGTGCTACAATAACAGAGATACCACACATGGGTGGCTTTAACAAACAGAAGTTTATTTTCTCAGTTTGGGAGACTAGAAGTCCAAATTCAGAGCAAGCACTAGCTCTAGGGGAAGGCTTTCTCTCTGTCAGCTCTGGAGGAAGGTCCTTAACGCTTTTCAGCTTCTGTTCCTCAGTTCCTTGGCAATCTTCGTGTGGTGTGGCATCTACTATATATGTAAAGGATATACTTATATATATACTTATATATCCTTTACATATATAGGCTGGCAGTGTCTATTAATGTTTTATTATCATTGTTTTTCACTTAGGGATTATTTTGCATTTTTTCTGGTGCCTTTTTCACGGTCTATCTGACTTCCTAGGTTCATGTCTCCCATGCCACTTTTTAAAAGACTATAAATAAGTTATATTATTTCTCTATGCTTTTTCTCATATGTAAAATGAGAATATTGATGTGGACAGGTCTTCCCTGTCACTGTTGTTGTGAAGATTAAGTGAGATAATATTTGTAAAGTAGTGGTTCAGTGGTAGAATTTTCGCCTTCCATGCAGAAGACCCAGGTTCAATTCCTGGCCAGTGCACCTAAAGCACAGCCACCATTTGTCTGTCACTGGAGGCTTGTGTGCTGCTGCGATGCTAAACAGCTTTCAGCAGAACTCCCAGACTAAGATAGACTAGGAAGAAACGCTTGGCAGTCTACTTTCAAAAATTGGCCAATGAAAATCCTGTGGATCCCATCTAAGATACAACTATTGGTCTCTACTCATCTGGAGCAAAAGAGAAGGAAGGAAACCCAAGACTCAGAGAAGAAACTAGTTTAAAGGACTAATAGTATACACGAACCATGGCCTCATCTACCCTGAGACCAGAAGAACTAGACGGTGCCTGGCTACCACGACCGACTGTTCTGATCAGGGCCGCAATAGATGGATCCTAACAGAACAGGAGAAAAATGTGGAACAAAACTCAAATTCTTAAAAAAGTCCAGACTTAATGGAGTGGTAGAGACTAGACAACTCCCTGAGACTATCACCCTGAGATATTCTTTAAACCTTGAACCAATACTATCCCCTGAGGTCACCTTTTAGATAAATAAGAGATTGACTCATAAAAAATATCACCCATGAGTACTGTGCTCCTTTAAAAAAATCATCTGTATGAGACCAAATGGTCAACAATTACTCTAAAGCAAAGATGAGAAGGTAAGGGGCCAGGGAAACTAGATTACTGGAAATAGAACAACCAGAACAGAAATAATGAGAATGTTGATACATTGTGAAAAATGTAACCAATGTCACTGAACAATTTGTACAGAGATTGTTAAATGGGAACCTAATTTGCTGTGTAAACTTTTACCGAAAACACAATAAAATATTATTTAAGAAAAAAACTACGGATCACAATAATTCAGTCCTGTTGGGCATGAGGTCACCATGAGTCAGGGGCTGACACAAAAACAAAACCTTCAATGAATGTCAGCTTTTATTCAGACATTAGAGTGGTGTGGTTAAGAGCTAGCTCTACCTGGCATTATATACCAGCCCTGACACATTGTAGCCATGGTTATTTATGCTTCCTGTCCTATACCTGTAAAATGGGGGTAACATCCACTGTACAGGGAATGTTGTGATTATTAAACTAATATGCATGAAACGTTCTTGCACAGTGCCTCTCATTGAGTAAGTGCCCAGTAAGTGTTAGTTTTTGGGTTTTGAAAGAGTAGGTAGGGGCTCTGTGCCTTAGATGCTACTTATGCCATTGGCCGGATATTGGACAGGCAGGAAAGAGCTATTTTAAGTGGAGGTGGTTGACAATATAAATGTGATGTGATAAGGAAGGACCTAAACTGAAGTGACTCAGAAAAAAACAGTTAAGTAGAGGTTTCGTATTTCCTTAATAACAAAGCAAGTAGTTCTTTTGCAGGAGGGACAGTTGGGTTCTGTAATACCTGGTCTCATGATAACATTAGTCAGAATCCAATTAAGAAGCATGTCAAACCATGGGGGTTATTGGGAAATACTAACCCCCAAACATAAATAAATGAACGGTGTTTTTACAGGGAAGACAGTTGGAAGATTGAGTGAAATTAAATGTCCTTGCAGTGCAGTGAATTACTCAGTAT